TTTTTTTTTTTGTGAGGAATCATCCCCTGTCTGCTTGTACATTTTATTTTAACGCACTCTGTACGTATCTGGTATCAGACTATTTAACGTGAATATTAAATGTCTCGTTTGTTGAAGTATAAGTATCTTACAAAAATTATAATTATAAGTACCTCATAAAAAAACAACGCTTCTTCTGTTTATAAAAAATATTGTAAGAATAATTAATGTTATAAAGAATAGAATTTAGTTTATTGATCTTTCGAAGAATAATTTTCTGTGATTTTTGTTACTTTCATTTTTGATTCAAGTTCCTAAAATTACCTACTTTCATGATATATCTAAAATCCAACTAAATTGTTTTCCTTTTACTTCCACTGTTTAACATGTATGTATCGTCTTATTAATTTACCTACATTAGAGTAATTTAGGATACAAATTGAATTTTGAGAGGAAATTTTATCACCATTTCGATATGTCGATTTGCAGTAACCAGCGGAATACTTGGCAAAAACAAGTTCAATTATTCTTACTCTATAGCTTCATCTGCGGATGAAGCCATAAAAATCTTCTCGAGTAACCTACTTTATCTTTCTTCGATGATAATATCCGTAGAAAACGCTTAGATAGCACGCGTCATAATCCAGCGAATTACTCCCAAGGAATTGTCGTTATTCAGGTTCTAAGTAGGTGATTTTCCTTTGATATTTTCATATAGAATGAGGCATTATATCGAACATGCATTTACGAGTGCAATACTCTTGGTAATATTACCGGAGATGCTAGACTGCAACTGAAAATTGAAGTTTCAACTCTTAGTTGTTTATTGTGTCCTCAGACATTCAAGACCGTAGCAATTTAGTATTTTTATATTTATATTATTTATATATTTTTATATTTTTTTAAATATTTTTATATTTATATTATTTATATTATTTATATTATAGTAAAATATTTATTTCTGAAATCTTTAATTTAATTTTACCTTGTAATTAATTTTAAGAACAAAGAATGCAAAATACCTACATTAACTCGAAATTCATAATTTCATAATTTAAGGCTAATATATTTTTGTCTGAAATTCAA